GCCTGGAATCCAGGAGACATTACTTCCCTTCCACGACCTTGAACATCCCAGCTCCTCTCAGCCTCTTGCCCACCTCCCCTCACTAATAAGTGGCATCAGGTGGGCTGACCAGGAAGTCTTTGTAAAACTACAGCTGCATGACTACAAGAGAGCTTTATACAGAATAATATATGGAAACACTGCAACTCCTAATCTTGCCTCTCTCCATTTGCCACAATCTCAGGACTCTGATTTGTCATAACATCACTAAATTATGAGTTTATAGTCTAGTTAGAGTAAGGAAGAAAGATAAAACCGTGAGGAAAACCAACTCCAGGCCTGAAATTCCTAAGGCCTCCAGCAAAACCATGCACACAGTAAGAACTCAATGAAGCACCTGCCACTGAGTGCTAGGAAACCAGTAAGTTGCCATCCCCACAGGGCAAACAGGCGCTCTCCACTGGCAGGTGCAGGCAGAGAAGGTGCTCAATCCAGGAGTCTGTTGTCACATCAGAAGCCTGAACTAAAAATGTGAAGCCACTTCCTCTCTGAGGGAGGAGACTCATGAGGTCTTATCTGGCCACAGCAGGCAGTCACACTTCCTCCCCAGACTCCCACTTCAAAGGTCTGGCAGAAAGGCCCACAGGCTAGAAAATCAACTCAAAGTTTAAACTCCTAACTATCTTGTCCCCAGGCATGTACCTTATTAAACAAATCACTCAAGAACTGTAGGGATTAAATATGACACCAAAAGTATATGCAACAAACTCAAAAACAGATAAATTGAACTTCATCAAAATTTTAAAACTTTTGTGCATCAAATGACACTACCCACCAGGTGCAGTAGTTCACGCCTGTAATCCTAATATTTTGGGAGGCCAAAGAGGGAGAACTGCTTGAGGCCAGGAGTTTGAGACCAGCCTGGGAAACACAGTGAGACCCCATAATTACAAAAAATTAATTTATAAAAAAGACACTACTAAGAAAGTGAAAAGATAATCCAGAAAATGGGAAAAAATAGCACTAATCTCATCTCTAATAATGATTTAATATTCAGAATATATGAACAATGCAATGACAATTCAATAACAAGAAAAAGAACCCAATAAAAATATGGGCAAAGAAAACCTGGATGCTTATTCAAAGAAAAAATATATATATACAAATGGCAAACAAACATAGGAAAGGATGTTCAACATCACTCATCATTAGGGAAATGCAAATCAAAACCACAATGGGATACCACTTCACACCCATTAGAATGGCTATAATTAAAAACAAAAACCAAAAAAGAAGATGGCTGGACTTTGGTGGCTAACACCTGTAATCCTAGCACTTTGGGAGTCCATGGCAGGAGGATCACTTGAACCCAGGGGTTCAAGACCAGCCTGGAGCAACACAGTGAGACCCCTGTCTATTTTTTTTTTTTAAAAGAAAATAACGAGTGTTGGGGAGGATGTGGAAAAACTGGAAGCCTTGCACACTGCTGCTGGGAATGTGACAACCGGAAGCCTTGCACACTGCTGCTGGGTAAAGCCACTGCTGAAGACAGTATGGTGTTTCCTCAAATAGCTAAACATAGAATTATGATATCATCCAGCTGTTTTCCCTACACATAGTTACATTCCTCTCCCCGCTATATAAACTTCCCAGTTTTAGTTTGACGGAAAGACAGATTTGAGACTGATCTCCCTTCTCCTCACCTGACATCACTCAAATGTAATTAAAAAAAGGGGGGGGGGGCGAGGAGTGGTGGTTCACACCTGTATTCCCAGCACTTTGGGAGGCCAAGGTGGGTGGATCACCTGAGGTCAGGAGTTGGAGACCAGCCTGACCAATGTGGTGAAACCCCACCTCAACTAAAATACAAAATTTAGCAGCTGGGCGCAGTGGCTCATCCCTGTAATCCCAGCACTTTGGGAAGCCGAGGCGAGGAGATCACCTGATGTCAGGAATTCAAGACTAGCCTGGATAACATGGTAAAACCTGGTCTCTGCTAACAATGCAAAAATTAGTTGAGCATGGTGGCACGCACCTGTAACCCCAGCTACTAAGGAGGCTGAGGGAGGAGAATCACTTGAACCTGGGAAGTGGAGGTTACAGTGAGCCAAGATTGTGCCACTGCACTCCAGCCTGGCCAACAAGAGCAAAACTCTGTTTCAAAAAAAAAAAAAAAAAGTTGGACGTGAGAGGTCGAGGCAGGTGGATCACCTGAGGTCTGGAGTTCGAGACCAGCCTGGCCAACCTGGTGAAACCCCGTCTTTACTAAAAATACAAAAAAACTAGCTGGGTGGGTGGCAGGCTCCAGTAATCCCAGCTACTCGGAGATGGAGGTTGCAGTAA